CCCTGCCCCCTGCAGAAGCAGCCTCTGCTGGAGAGGGGGTGGCAGCAGCAGCTCCCACTGGTGGGAGGACAGAAAAGCACTCATTTGAAGACAACTCTTCCATGCAGGGACTTGAATGTGAGATATCTGTCATGAGCAGGGATCCTGGTTTTCCCTGATAAAAAACTGCAAATTCTCTAATTCAAACCACAAAATCTGTGATTAAAATGAAAGGCCGCTATGTACATAGGGATCAGCTGAACACAATGTTTTATTGATGTATTTCCAAGTTTAAAGCAATTTGGAAGTCTACCAGTGCTTCGATCACTACAATAAAATACATTCTAATAATGTAATACCTAATACATACCTATCTAATAATACCTATACATTTTGGTATTTGATTTGAAGTTTTCTATCATGGAAAAATCAGAGGTCCCCCTGCCCCCTTCACTCACAAAATGCAGGTCCAGGCCCCTCACTCCCAGGCCATAGCCCCCCAGCCCTGCCAGTGCCCCTCGCTCCCCTCCCCACCCAGTCCTGCTGGTGCCCCTTGCTTCCCCCTTCACAGCCCCCCGGCCCTGCTGGTGCCCCTCACCCCACACAGGGACCCCCAGCTTCCCAAGCTATGGGGCCAGGGACCAGGTCTGCAGCCCCCTGCCCTGGCTGCCACTTACTGCAATGAAGCAGAGCATGGAGCCTGGCTCCTCCACCTCCATGGGCCGCATGGCTGGAGTAGAGCCCGGCAGAGGCAAGTGCAGGCTGCCTGCCTGCTGTGGGCTTGGATGTGGGAGGGAGGCCCCATGCTGCTGCATACACTCCCGCAGCGGGAGGGGGGACCTGTGTCCTACAGATCTGTGTGCAGGGCAGAGGCAGGGGCGGGTGCAGGCTGCCCACTGTGGGCTTGGGCTCCCCATCCTGCTACCCTCCCCTGGGGTCTCTGTGGCCCAGTGGGCAGGACCCAGCACAGCAGGGCAGAGCAGGGAAGCTCCTTGCCACTGAGAGCTCCATGCTGCCCTGGTGATGCGCCTCCTGCCCACCTGGTAGCAGTGGGGGTGGTGATGCAGAGTTGTGCCCCTCACTGCTCCAGGGCAGCCAAGAGGCAGGCCACCAGGGTAGCATGGAGCTCCCACTGGAGGCCCTGAGCTTCCCCACCCAGTCCTGCTCTGCCCTCACCTACCAGGTCCCACCAGCTGGGCTGTGGAGACCCTGAGGGGAGGGCAGCAAGGCAGGGGCCCACAGCTGGCAGCTTGCCCCTGCACCATGCATAGATCTGGGGGGCACAGCCCCCCCTTTTCCCCCTAGGAGTGTGAGCAGTGGTAGAGCCAGCCCCATCTGCCCTACTACCTGGATGAGCTGCCCATGGCTCCATTCTACTCCCTCTTGGGGCTGGCAGCTGTGCATTCCAGGCCTGGGCCCCAAGCCCCCAGCCCTGCCCCACTCCCTCCCTCCCTCCCTATGGAGACCTCAATCTCCACCACCCCACTACCACACTTGTGGGAGCTGCTCTCCAGGCTGCTTGGTGGCCATGTGCATGTATATGCACATGGCACCCCCTGCCTGATTGCCCTCTTCCCACTCCCCCCAGCCCCTTGCAGGCTGGAACTGCCAGCCTGAGAAAGCTCTTTGTAAAAGGTCAAAATCTGCTTGTTTCTCTCTGTTAAAATGAGAAATCTGCATTTTCCTCAGATAGAAGTGGAAATCCTCTTTTTTTTTGTTTTCCTGGGAAATGGAAAACCCAGATCTCTGGTGATAAGGAAGCAGCAGGGAGGCAATAACTGGCCTTCTCTTACAAAATCCTGCCTGCAACTTGGCCTCAGAGCCAACTGGCGACTGAAACATCCATGACTACTAATAGAGTTCGCCATGTTTGTCTTCAGCTGATCTTCAAAAGATAACAGAGTAAATCCATACCAAACATTATTCACATACTGAATGCGAAGTTAAGGCTTTTCTTTTGATCAGAGGTCAGAGGGGAACAGTTCTATGTTCTGTCGTGGTACAATTTAAGGATAGGATGGCTCATCCCCCACTACTGCTGGTGGCTGCAGTTACATAAGACAGTATACACCTTTGTCTACACTTGTGAAGTATGTGACCATATCAAGAAGCCTTCACAGAAGCTTTGAGGGCTCCACCAACCCCTTCCAACCCCTCCTCAGCTATGAGTTGCTATCACCAAAGACAACTCGTGCAGGGTGTGGGGCCCAGCCCCAATGAGCACCGGATGTGAAGAAGCTGGCAGCAGATTCAGCAGCAGGGAGGGGGGTGGTGCTGAGCAGTAGGGGTGTGCAAAATGGGCCCTATTCAATTCGGCTCGAATCAGGGACAGTGATTTGATTAGTTGATTCGGATCACTGTCCCTGATTTGATTCGGCTGAATCCAAATCTGAAGATTTGATGCTGAATCAGAGAATCAGTGATTCAGACATAGACACAGCTTTAGTTTTTTCTACGTACCTCGAGGTACCAGGCATGGCTCGTGAACGCTGTGATGCTGGGGCAGATGGAGCGTCCCACAGGAGTGCAGGGACCCCCCCATGTGCTCGGCAGTGAACCCAGAAGTGGATCAGAAATACTTCCGGTCCACTTCTGGGTGCACTGAGGAGCATGCTGCCCCCCACCCCAGCTCAGCAATTGGCTGTGGGGGGACTCCAGGTGCCCCCCCAGACCCAGGAGGCACCAATCGCTAAGTCAGGGGTGTGCGGGGGGCCCCCAGCACACTCTCCAGCAGACCTGAAAGTGGACAGGAAGTGCTTCTGGTCCACTTCTGGGTCTGCTGCTGAATGCACTGGGGACCACCCCCCATGCTCCTGTGGGACGCTCCATCCGCCCCAGCATCGCAGCGTTGACAAGACGCCTGCTACCCTGAGGTATGTAGAAAAAACTTTTAAAGCTGTCTATATCAGAATCTCTGAATCTTTCCAAATCTTTCTGAATTGATTTGGAGGGTCCCAATTTGATTTGGAGAGATTAAAGGGTTTCCTGATTTGATTCAGAATTGGAGATTCGGCCACCAAAAAGGGACCAAAACTTCAGACAGCCCTACTGAGCAGCTGGATGTGAAGCTGGTGGTGACAGTGGCAGCTCAGAGTCACTGCACCCACTCCGCCCAGCTCTGCAGGACCCCCCAAAGTGTAGGGCCTGGGGCAGTTGCCCCAATTCACGCCGAAAAGAGACAACCCTGGCTATCATCCTAGATTTTATTGTGGAGCTATCTTCAGTGTTTTTTCTACAATTCTAACCATGACCGATCACCTTACTAAGGCTGGTCACCATCCTAAGGTCAAAGCAGTTTATTCCTGGCAGTTATAGCATGCCAGAGCTCTGACATTAATTGTGGTTCTGCTTCTAATACATTGGTTGGCACCGACATAAGGAAAATCGACTGCATTGGAAATCAGCTTTTTTTGCCTGATGTGGCCGATAAATGCCCCGTGAATGCGTTCAGCTGAAATGCACCACGCAGACTGCGAGGAACACAGCCTGGCTGTTTGGAGAGCTGCGTCCAGCTGGTAGGTCTGTTGTGGTGGAAGAGAAGCAGCGTGGGTGGGGCAGATCAAGGCCCCCACAGTGAGGGAGGGAGTGGGGTTGGGGCAGGCACTGCCCAGCCAGGGTGGTACGGGGCACAGGACAGACCCATGGCTGATCCAGGGGGTGTAGGGATGGGGGGCTGCAGCTCCCGCTACTACATGCACCCCAGGAAGGCATGGGGGGCATGTGGCCCCAGATATGCATGGGGTGGAGAAGACTCCTGCTGTGGGCTGGGGCCAGGACTGCACCGGGCTCTTCCTGGCAGGGGCTGGGTCAGGCTGTGCTCAAGGCGGGTGGTGGCGGCACTTGGAGGAGGGTTGGGAGGCTAAGGCAAATATTGGAGTGGCTGCAGCCCCCATCCCAGCACCACTGCTGTCCACACTGACAGTAGCCGAGTCCAGTCCCCCACCAGGAAGAGCCCAGCGAAGCCCCAACCCACAGCTCACCCCGCCCCACGCAGATCCAGGGACATGTCCCCCATGCCCTCCCAAGGTGTGTACAGATGTGGGAGCTGCCCCATCTGCCCACGCCCCCTGGGAGAGCCACAGCTCCATCCCACACCCTGCCCTGGCTGGGCAGCAGCTGCTGCAGTCCCACTCCCTCTCCCTCTCTCACTACAGGGGCCTCAATCGCCCCCCCCTTCCCTTCCCCCACAACAGACTTAGCAGCCGGATACTGCTCTTCAAGCTGCCGGGCTGTGTATCAGAAATTGGATCAGTATTGACTGTTATGCCTCCCTAAAAATCAGCTGTCAGTATCAGCCCAAAAATCTCTATCGGTACACCCCTACTTCTAATGATTATTTTTAAAAGGAAAAATTACATCCATTGTCTTATTTCAGGTCCAGTTTAAATACCTTAGCTTAATAATGGAACCAGCTTGCTCACTCTCTCTCATAAAAGAGTTACTTATGACATATAGCCATATAGCCAAGCAAAATGTCTGTACTAGCAGCAGATATATAGTGCCACTATTCTCATCTTCTGACAAATCTAAATCATTCTCTCCTGACTCTTCTGTTTCTATAATTATTTCAGGCAACTGGCTAGAAAAGGGCCAAATACTTAAGCTATCTTTTCTCAGCACAGCAAGAAGTGATATCAATGAGTCTTCAGCATATTACCCTTCTTTGGGTAGCATCCATGATGAGGCATCTGGTAATTCTGTGTTTTCTTCCTGGTATCTAGTCCCAGGCTTTATAAGATTACAGACTTATAGCATTGTATAAGTTTGTAGGAAAATCAATCATTGTATTATTTCTTTGATATACATGTTAGACAGACACACTCTTAATCAGTAGCAGTAATTTTAAAAATAATTTATTTAAAATTATTTTGTAAAATATATTGACAAGTATTTTCATTAATTGAAAAATGTGACCATTTTGTAAACAAGAAAGGGAGAGAGGCTGCAAATAGCTTTGAGGGAGTGGTTTGGGGATTTTAAATTCAGTGGCAAACTTTCAAATCTGGTTACCTGAAGTATTCTAAATTTAGTGGCAAACTTTCAAATCTGGTTACCTGAAGTTTGATACCTAATCCTGCTATGAGCTGCTTGTAGAGTTTTCAGCTTGTGTGGGGGCAGCAACAATGTCATTCAGCACCCTCACTCCCAATCCTGGAGTCTTTTGACGGTCAAAACAACCCCTACCCCCACTAAAACAGCTTTAAAATATGCCAGCTGAGATAAGCTTTCAAGAAGCAGCTGCTTTACTGGTGATACACCCCATTCATAATCTTTCCCCTCCCTAGAGTAGGTGCTGGGGAGACCAAGAGAATCTAACGTACGGCTCGCTGTATCAGCAAATGATGCTCCTGTCTTTGGGAATCCTCAGGTACGTTCTTAAACCAATTTTAATTCCCATTCATATCACCAGAGAGATACATGGGAGACTCAGTAGGGACTAAGAATGTGGCTATCAGTTTAGAATATGGCTATAAATTTTATTAAGAACACGACAAAGAAACTTCCACATTGGCAAGTATAAGTTTGAAATCCTGTGTGCTGCTTTGGGTTTGTTTTGTTTTCTTCTTTGTCCACTTATAGCATTACCTTCTAGTTCTTCTTGGGTTTCCTTGAGTTCTCACATAATATTGCTCTGTTCCCTGGACAATGCAATTTCATTTTTTCATAATTTGTTTAGCATATAAATGACTAAACTGTCTGAGGAGTCTATATTTCCACCAACTGTAAATTTAATACACTGATTTTAGTAGTAACAGCCTGAGTTCTATCTGGCTGTTAGTTATTACCCTCAAAAGAAGGGTAAATGACATAGATGCAAAACATTTATTATAATAAAAAAAATTATTATAATAAAAGTTTTGTTTCTTTTGTCCTTACCTCTGGGGATCAGAACACATTCATGAGTTGAAGTTCAATAACACTTCCCTAAACAATCTCCATTTCAGACATACTGAAACTGAGACTCAGAGAAATTAAGTGATTTGCCTAAGATCACAAAACAAATCGGTGACAGAGAAGAGATGAAGCCCCAATTTGCAGCTCTGTGTTGAAAGCACTGCCTCCAAGGTGTTGTCAAATTAAATACATTGTTGCAGAATATTCCTGACTTTGTTTATAACCAAGTCTCTCAAGCATCATCCAGATGGTAAACAAGATAAATCTAATATGCAGTTATGTTTCTTGTCATCATCTTGTAGAATGTCGTTCCTCCTTGATGAATCAGGTTAGCACTGCTTTGCAGCTGGGATGGCAAACCCCAGAATTCTTTGGTTTGGAATACAAGGTGACATTCCTTCACACAACAAAATGTGTGCATCCTCTAATTAAACCATAAAGTGAATATTAAAATGTGAGTAAGTCACACACTAAAAATATATATTTGAAAGTTTTTCAGAAGTCAATCATCTATATTTTTCTGCAACCAGTCAGTCACTCGGGCAATGAGTTTTGCTTTCTCTTTATTTTCTAATTTTGCAGACTGTAATCTTGTAGTAGTAGAAATCCTTTCATTCTCTTCCAGTGTAGCATTATAAAAGAGCTGCAACTGAAGAAATATGCACATAAAGTTAGACTATGTAGTCTTACTCTGAGTGAAATAAATCACTGTATTTTTGACAGGTATCTCAAACAGAACTGGTTAGAAAAGACCATCTTTTTGGTCTTAGAATTTAATGTGAAATAATAGTGAATGCCAGGGAAGGGCTGTCATTGACTTCAGGGGCCAGAAATTCACTGTGCAATTTTTACTTTGGGGAAGATTCTGGCTTTTCAAAACTTATATATTTGTGAACCTACATTTTAAAAAGTGACAAGTGATCTTGAGGGACCAACGTAAAATATCTTTTGGGGGGTGGGGAGGGATTTGCAGAGAGTGAGAAGCCAGGTCTTTTGAAAATCAGGCCCTTAAAAGGGGAAGCAGAGATCTGCCTCTTCAGAGCACTGAGATGAGTTGGCCTTTTTTCTTGCAAAATTACTCATAACAAGAATTACAGGTGCTAAAGTTCTGGGTGCAAGGGCATAGAAAGGAGCTGTCTCTACAGTACTTGTCCAAGAGAACACCTCCTTTGCAGACAAGGACTTTTAGGATTCCTTGATACCAGACCAACCTTTTGTACCTCATCATCTTGTCTCTTTTTATCACCAGGTCACAAAATGCTTAGGCACAGGAGTAGAGGTGGATGTCATTTACTTGGATCTTAGGAAGGCCTTTGATACAGTATCTCACCCCATTCTCATAAATAAATTAAGAGGCTGTGACTAGTATATTAAGACAGAAAGACCCAATTTTCTATTGCTCATAATTTAGCAAAGTTTTAAAAGTCTGGGCTGAGATTTTTCAGATGTCTGTCTCACTGACTTTTTGTTTTTAAGAAAGTTTCAGCCAAAATGGTTCAGTTGTTTTCAGGAACAAGACATTCCTGTGATCTTTTCTTTGAGCAGTTCTAATGTCTAATTGCTTTGGAAGAGGGACTTGAAATCGAGTGGGAGACGGTGTGGTGACTGTGTCAGGAGCGCATCTTTTATTACTCTCTCTGTGAAAATACTGTTCCTGTGAAAATCCTTTATACTTGGCCATTTGTTATAAGTAGTACTATAGTATGCCTGATACCTAGTTATGGATTAGGAACCTACTGCACTGGATACCTGATAAACAAAAAAAAGGACTTCTTGCCCCAGAGATTTATGACAAGCGACAACAGAAGGACAGAATTGTCCCTGCCCCAAAGAGCCTACAATCCAAGAAGAAGACCAGAGATAACAGAAAGATACAGAGGAAAAGTAATAAGAGTACCAAACACTGTGATAGTACATCAATAGTCTAACAAGAGCTACAGAGGTAAAGCTGACATTTCCCTGAAATGGCTAGCAGCTGTTCTTATGAATCAGTTAAGGATAGGTCTACATTGTATAGTGCAGCGCCATGCAGAGATACTCAAGCTTTCTCTAAATGAAATTGTCAGGTTCTGAAAGTAGTATGACCACATTAGCATGGCACTCTACCTGAGAGGAAGGGGGAATTAATCTGGGCAGAAAGTCAGGCTAATGCTAAGGTCCAAGACATGGGAGGTGTCTCTACTTGGCATTGGTTAGGCTTCATTTAGAGTATGCAGTTCTGGGCAGTTTGTGTGTAGTTTTCAGCTCTACAGTTTAAAAAGGACGTGAGCTAGTTACAGGGTGCAGAGGCGAGTGACAAGAATGATAAAGGACTTGGAAGGAATGTCATACAAGGAGAGGCTGAACGAGTTAGGGATGATCAGCTTGTGGAAAAGGCACTTAAGAGGAGACAGGATAGCCGCTTCATATATCCAAAGAGCTGCCACAAAGAAGAGAGAAAACATTTTTTTCTCTTCCTGCAGATAGTAGGATGCAGACCAATGGCTTGGAGCTGCAGCAAAGCCATCTTACTTGAATATAAGATGACCCTGAATATAAGACAACCCCCCAAATAATTAGATTCTATGTACAGAAAATGTATACATTTGTTTTAATTGTCCAGGTATAGAATCTATATATTGGAGGTTTGCCCTGAATTTTTCCCCCTTCCACTGCTACAGCAGGGAAAATAAATCTGGGGGGGTCAGATGCCCCCCTTGCTCTCTACCCCCTCGACTTCTTCCCTCTCCCCCCCCTCCCCTCCCTTACTATCAAACCCTGCTCTCCCTGAGCACATGGAAGGGAGGGGCAAACTTGAAAACACAGACTTTGAAATAAACATACCTTTAGTAGTTCACAGTTCACATTACTACGGGTACCCATAGACTTAGTTCATCCAGAATTGATGCATTTTACCGTTTTTGAAACCACTGCAAGTTTTAGCACAGGTACTCCATAAATACACTTTTACTTTCACATAATGCTGCTTAAGACAAGAGATTTTTTTCCCATGCTGACTGGGGGAAAAACCCTCATCTTATATTTGAGTAAATACAGTAGGCTTAGATTGGACAACAGGAAAAACTTTACTGTTAGAACAGTGAGGCAGTGGAATGGACTGTCTAGGGAAGCTGTGAACTCTCCATCACTGGAGGTGTTCAAGAAGAGGCTGGACAGCCACTGGTTGGGGATGATCTAGGCCAGCGTTTCCCAACTGGTGTGGTGTGGCACACTGGTGTGCCATCAGGCATGTCCAGGTATGCTGCGGCATTTTGGGCTGGAGCCACAACCCCTGCCTGGCGGGAGCCATACTCCCCACCTGCTGCTACTGTGGACACAGACAGACAGGGAGCATGGCTCTAGCCAGGCAGGGGGCATGGCTCAGCCCAAAATGCAATCCGACTGGCTGCGTGCCGCCCCTTCCTATCAGCGTCCAGCTGGCCCCACGCTACCCCCCTCCTCCCCCGTCAGAGTTTGGCTGGCCACACACCACCACCTGCCTCTCCACATCTGGTGTGCCATGGTGCTTATTTAGGTAAGTGTGCCATGGGGCAAAAAAGGTTGGGAAATGCTGAACTAGGCAAAGTTATGCCTATGGTATACTATGGGTATTTCCCATGCTTCTGGGCTTTGCTGGTTGCCTCCACCCCGCATTTTCTGCTACAAGAGTTAGAGTTTTTAAGCCTTCCTCAGAAGCATTGGGTGTTGGCTGCAGCCAAGGCTGGGGATTTTGACTGGGGTGTGTCAATGTTTCTGCTGGGTCTTAAAATCCTGAGGTTTCTCAGGGTCAGAACAACCACCATATTTGGGGTCAGGAAGATCTTACCCCATGGTCAGACTGACATGGAATGTGCAGAGTTTTGCTTTCCTCTGTAGTGAGGGGTGTTATGTCTTGTGTTCTGTCAAGGTTGACTATGTACTTTTGCTAGGAAGTTAGACATTGGATTTGTATACAATGGTTTGGATAGGGATAATCCTGCCTGAGGCAGAGGGTTGGACTAGACAACCTATGGAGGTCCCTTCCAGCCCCACCTCTCTACGATTTGCAATTTCTCTATGACATGACTCATTCAGGTGTGGACTCACTTCCAGCTAGCTCAAAAGTTGCTGCAGGACACTGTATTGCACTGTGTTGACCTGACCAGGGTGTGTGGAGAAGGACCCAAGGTAGAAGGATGGGAAGGAAAGGAGTAAATTGGGACACAAAATCTAGTGAGCAACTGATTAGATGGAAAGAAACTAAATGGGAGTGGGGGTGTGACTGGGACTGAACTGGGCAAGGAGAATGTGTCCAGGAGGCAGGGGAATCAGAGACTGGAACTAAGATGGGACAGTAAAACTGGGACTACGATGGGGCAGTAAAACGGACATTAAGACCGGAACCCATTTGTTGAGAGGCAACATTGAGATCACAGGAGAAGCCAGCGTACCAAGGAGAACTGAGAAATGTTGGGCAAAGAGATGCCAAGATGATATCAGGAAGGAAGAAGACAGACTGCAGAGGGAGCCAGGGAACCAATGTAGTGCTGGGGAGAGTCAGAGAGATACAAATAAATGATCATTCTGGATTTTCTTTTTTTTTATGCAAGGGGAAAATCTATACAAAAAGAAGCTGCACAACAGTGGCTGTAGAAATGCTCATCTACTTGCCAAAAACGACTCATCTAAATTCCACAAAACCTCATTTCCATCCAAGGGTGCCTAACTAATTGTACAAGCATTTCTCTGACTTAGGGTGTGCAACTTAGGATGCATATTTGTAAGTGCATTTCTTGTACATGCAAAAGTAGCTTTTTAAAAGTATTAGTTCCCACATGCTTATGCAATACATTTCATGTTAATTCTTAAACACATATATTTACAAATATACATAACTACCTCTTGGATCTGTAAGTCTGTATTGACCAGTCTTTCCATACCATTTAAAACAGCATATAACGGTGCATTTCCAAACCTATAAAACAATGTAAAGATTAATGATGAAGCAAGAGAACTAGACAATATTTGGATAAATGTTACATTCATCTTTACAAACATTTCTCCCAAGCTTAGTTATTTTTGATGTTGAACTGTTGTCTAAATTAATTTTAAAATCTGAGAGTATTTCTTACTAAAAAATGGGAGGAGAACTCAGTACATTTTAAACAAGTATGCAGGATGAAAGGAACTTAAATGTAAATCATAATCTTTTATAAAATGTTTGATTTCTCTTCCTTGGTAAGAACACAACATTCATTTGAATTATCTAAGAACTGCAAACATTATCAGATTACAAAAATTAAAATTTAGTCTGGCTGGAAAAGGCTAACACAATACATTAATCTATTACTAATCATATGCCAGTATCAGGTGCACAAGTTTGAAAAAGAAAGAGCATCAAAGTAGTGAATCGGAGTCACTGGGAGCGTCTACACGTGACGCTACGTCACCATAGCAATGTGCTACAGCGATGTAACCTTTGTAGGCAAAAACCATGATGCCGCACCTACATTGCCATAGTGATGCACTCCCTTGTTATAGTGCATTGCTATGGCAATGCAGTGCCTAAAAATAACTATGCACAGTGCGCACGGTGCAGTACGGACTGTTATTGTGCAGTCTTTTAGTACTTCCAAAAGGAAGTACCATGAATGGCACGTCCCCTGGTGGCTGGGGGTGGGCACGGCTGTGCTGGTGGGGGTGGCGATGGGAGCGCAGCAGCAGTAAGCACGGAGCTTCCGCACACACCACCAGCCCTGTCACCGGTGGGGAGGGGAGGGAGTGACGACACTGGCAGCGATGACAGGGGCCGGGGGGGATTGTGGACTGCCCACAGATGCTGCCGGTGGTGTCAGCAGTGGGGGGGCAAGTGGTGACCACCTGCAGACACTGTCAACGGCAGCTTTGTGCAGGGGATGCACTGCCACCCTCAGGGGGTGCACATGCCCTCTATGCAGCACTGGTCAGGCCGCAGTTAGAGTACTGTGTCCAGTTCTGGGCACTGCACTTCAAGAGGGATGTGGCTAACCTTGAGAGGGTCCAGAGGAGGGGTCCACTCACATGGTGAGGGGGCAGCAGGCCAGGCCCTACTAAGATAGACTAAAGGGCCTAAATCTATTCAGCCTCCACAAGAGAAGACTGAGAGGGGATCTGGTGGCTGTCTATAAACTCACCGGGGGGGAACAGTGGAAAATAGGTGAGACACTGTTCCCCCAGGCACCACCTCAGATAGCAAGGAATAATGGCCACAAATTGATTGAGAATAGGTTCAAGCTTGATATCAGGAGGCATTATTTTATGGTTAGGGCTGCCAGGCTCTGGAATGGGCTCCCAAGGGAGGTGGTGCTCTCCCCTTCCTTGGGGGTCTTCAAGAGGAGGTTGGAGAGATATCTGGCTGGGAGATTTTGATCCCAGTACTTGTTTCTGCCCAGGGCAGGGGGTCAGACTTGATGATCTGTTCAAGTCCCTTCCAACCCTAGAAACTATTAAACTATGCGTCGCCCCTGGGAAATACTAAATGATGGTGCAGTAACAATGGTGCCATAATGGCATGTTATATCATAGAATCTGAGTCATGGTGTTCAGCTATGGAATAAACAGGCTCAACACTATTGTAATCGTGGAATTTATATCCATTTTACTAGCCCCAAATTTGACCTGATAAGTTTAAAAAGTAATCCCAAGTATTTGCATTGTATTTTTATTAGTACAGTAGCTGCAAGGAGACTGTACATAACTAATAAATATAATATGGCTTTTAATTTTAAAATAATAAAAAGGCCAAATTCAGAGCAGGTTTCACAGCAGTATAAACATGGCATGTTCCACAGCAGTAGAAGACTTCTACAAGGTGACAGGTTGTAGATGCACTGACTGTCTTTAAATTGATGCATCTTTAGGGGCTAAATTATTCCACCGCTTCCTTGTCCCCCTCCCACAATTGGCTACATTAAGGGCATGCTACTAGCTGTGGTCCCCGAGACCTTTCCACCAGTCAAGCATGGGAGGAAAGAATCACAAGCGTGCATGTGCCTGTTGCAGCATCTCAAACCAATTTGAGATGCCGCAAGAGACACGCTGAAAACAAAAACATGTTCCCCGCACTGCATATTTCCAGTGTGGGCTCAAAATTTAATACCTGGATTTCCAGCTATCAAATAAAAGCACCCAGGAGAAAAGCAGCGCAGAGCACGGTTCCCCACTGTGCCCTAAGGCAAGCCGGGGCCTGGACCTCCGGAGACGCTCTGGCATCCAGCCAGTGTCTCTATGGTGCCCCTGCTGCCCTGGCATGCTGCGTTCGTATGCGGGGCAAGCACGAGCAGCGCAAGGCTGTGACCTGGGTGTTGTCAATGTGTGGGGGTTGTATGGGGGTGTGGGGTTGGTTGGAGGCTGTGGGTCCCCCACAGGGCCCACAGCCCCCCTCCCCCCGCAGCAATAGTGGCCATGGGGTGCTCAGGGCCCACTGCAGACAGAGCTCCTCTGTGGTGTGGCACATCCCTGGCCACCTTAGACCCAGCACCACCTGTGCCACTTGATGTAGGTCTGGCCGGGTGAGGCACGGAACGGGGCCACACACCTTCAGGCAGCGCCAGGCTGCTCAGGCTATCACCCGCGGCACAGTGCTGCTCACAGGGACCACGTGTTGTGCCGGGCTGGGTCCTGCTTCTGTGGAACAGGACTGGCCTGATGGCGCGCAGGGCCTGTGCAAGCAGGACTCAGCCCAGTACAACATGTGGTCCCTGTGAATGGTGCTGGGCCCCAGATAACATGCAACAAGCAGCACAGGTGGCACTGGGTCTGAGGTGGCTGGGGCCATGCTGCTGCTGATGGGGGCGGGGGGCGGGCTGTAGCACTTAGTGGGGGGGCAGGCTGTGAGCGAAGGGGGTAGGGGCAGATCTGATTTTTCTATGACAAAAACCCCCAAAAAGTAAATGCCAAAGCATATAGAAATTTAGGATTTCTTTTATTATGATTTGAGAGCCACTGGTAGGCTTCCAAATCGCTTTAAACTTGTAACTATATCAAATAAAACATTCCCCAAATGATCCCTCTCTATATAGTGGTGTTTCATTTTAATAGCAGAAGAACACTATTTGCGGTACTGTAATAAGAGAATTTGGGTTTCTTATCAACTAATTTGCATTTTTTAAACAAGGAACACCAGGATCTCCGCTGGTAAGAGAAGTGGCGAGACTCGGGCAGAAAAGCCTGTCCAAGGCCAGCACTGGGCACCCAGATGGAGGGCAGATGAGGTGGCTGACCTCTTGGCCATTTGGGGCCAATAGGACCCGTTTGACAGTTCAAAGTGGACCATCACAAGGAGCACATCTTCTGGGCGATAGCTGCCCAGATGGCAGAGTGGAGGTACCCCATCCAGGTCTGGCTGCATGTCTAAGGGGGTGGATGCTATCACAGGTGGCAGTAGGTATAGGTGACATATAGTGGGCCACAGGGGCAGGCACATGCCCCCCCTGAAATTGGCCCTTGCCAGCTGGGGAGTGGGGAATGCCAGCCCTTTCCCTGATACCTGCTTGCTCTTAAGGCTTCATTTATCCATTCTCCAGATTTCCAAAGTGGCTCCCGCTCCCTTCCCAGCACCTTTTCTTTATATCTGCTCCTAACACCCCACCCTCACATGACCAGTTATTCTCCTGGCACCAATGGCTTGGTCACACCCACTTCTTTTCATATAGATGGATAAGAGCCTCATGATATATGCCTTCAGTTTAAATCCTTGTGCCACCAGGTGTACCTGAAAATCTTTGGGTATACCAACCATCATGCTAATAAGCAATACATAATAGTAACTGATAATATTTTATATTTATACATTGTTTTTCACCACCACAGTGCACAAAGCACTTCATAAGGTTATGTAATAAAGAACCAGGTAAATGGGAAATACAGGTACCTGCAGAGTTGAAGCCTGCAGTTAGATTCTACAGCAGTGGTTTTCAACCTGTGGTCCACAGACCCCTGGGGGTCCATAGGCTGTTCAAGGGGCCCATGAAAGATGACTATAATCAAAAGTACATGAATATCCACACTTACAATTCAAAAAGGTCCGAGCCTCCCTTTCAAATTTTTTGCAAATGAAATAGGTTGAAACCCACTGCTCTACTGCAAAAACTTAAAAGGCTGAAGCAGAAGCCAGAGAACAAGCTGAAGAATAAAGGTCAATGCCACCAGCTGGAGCTTGCCATACCTTTCTTGTAAAAGTGGCCAATTTTCTGTCACAAATTTCCATATTATACGTAGCCCAGTATCAGTAGCTGCCAAGTTGTAAATGAGAAATATCGTATTATTAGAAGAAAATAATGATCCGTTGACACCAGACTCCATGTATCTGTTGAAAAATGTTAAAAAGTGTAACTATCTTAAAAAAAATAAAAGCAGCATTTGCAGCCAAAACAGTACTTTTAAATAAGTTATCTATCTTCCATGTTTTCACTGAGTTTCAAATTATCAGCATGCAAACATAGCAGTGCATAGAGTGTGGATATACTTACTGCATCTTTGCAGTAATGAGGGAAAAAAGGGCCAAAATATTTCCTTCAGAGGAAAACCCAAGGAAAGGTACAGTGCCTCTGTACCTTTCCCCCAACCTTCCCCTTTCCTAGCATACCTGTTCTGTCTCCTCATATGCCCCTATAATGTCAAAAGTGACAGCTGGCACAGGAAGCTGTTATGCTGCCTTCACATGGTTTATAGCAATGGAATTTATTCTAATACAACAGGGATGCCCCGTAGTGGCAAATTGCCAAAAATGGCCTAATAGGAGTAAGTGTACATGACAGATCAGAAAATCCAGTTTCAGTGGCTTTTATATATATGCTAAGCATGTTACATTTAAAGTCATTGGGCACATCTACACATGCATTTACTCTAGCCCAAATTTACTCTGGTGCAAGCTAATCCAGTGTCAGGGTTTTTGAGCAGGCATTTACACATGCAGAGACAAGGTAAAAAATATGCACCAAGTTCCCTGCAGCCTTGCAATGGGCCTCTGTACCCACTGGGTGGGGAGCTCCAGGCTCCCCCTGGGTGCTAGTCCAGAGGATGACAGGTAGCACCAGGCCAGGAGACAGTTGTCCTAGGGGCCCTAGGGGCCTGCCTGCTGCTGGGGCAGGGACAATGTCCCCCTGCTCTGCCAGCAGGGAGCTCCTGGCCCAGGCTCCCTGATCAGGGTCACAGGGTTTGGAAGGAGCAGGTCCCAGCCCCTTGCCCTGATCTGCCTGTGGGGCAGCTAGCAGCTAGCTGGGACTGGCCCAGTCAGGAGCAGGTCCCAGACAACTCCAAGCAGGGTGGGGAACTGTTCCCATGCAGGGAGTTCCCAGTTTCCGCTCCACAACTGCAACTGCAATCACCGAGTGGGGCTGGGCAGCTTGTTTCCAGCCCCTGCTCTACAATTGGTGAGTGGGGGCTGGAAGCTCCCTTGTGCCGGGGCAGGGGGATATTGTCCTGACAGCAGGGAGCTCCCACCACTGGCTCCGCAACCACAGGGCCGCTGCTGGGAGATCAACCACGGAGCTCAGGCTGGGAGATAAGGGTCTCCCAGGCCCCTGCTTGCAATCTTGGAGCAGGGAATTTGGAGCTCCTTGCTGCCAGGGCAAGGGGAGATAGTCCCTGCCCAGGCTCCTATGGTGGAGCCCACCTGGGCAGCAGGCAGCTCCTGGTGGCAGGGGGTTATGTCCTGCCCCCTGATGGATGGCTGACCAGGAGCAGATTTTGCTCCAGATCAGAAGTCTATAGAGGAGTTCTACAATGTCATTATTAATCCCAAGTAAATTTGCTACTTGCATTTGCAGGTGGCAAATTTACTCAGGATTAAGAAGGTTTACTGCAAAGTAAGCACGTGCACGTGTAGATGCACATGCACATGCTTCACAGTAAACTATGCTAATGCAAAGTTAAGCATCTCATGTGGATGCACCCACTAAGAGTTATTAATTGACTTTTTGAAGAGAAAGACTGCACTTCAAGTGATGAATAATTTACTGAATTACTGTATTTACTTAAATATAAGATGACCCTGAATGTAAGACAAACTCCAATAACTAGATTCTATGTATGTAAAAAATATACATTTGTTATCATTTTCCAGGTATGGAATCTAATTATTGGAGGTTTGCCTTGAATATGTCCCCTCCCACTGCTACAACAGGGAAAATTAAATCTGGGGAATCAGGTAGTCCCCTTGCTCTTTACCCCACAACTTCCTCTGCCTGCAAGCCCTTCCCTCCCTCCCCCCCGCTTTACTGGCAGAACTTGCTCTCCCTAAGCACATAGAAGTGAGGAGCAACTTTGAAAACACTGATCTTGAAATAAGCATATGTGTAGTAAAGTGTATGTAGTACCCTTAGACTTAATTCATCCAGAATTGATGCATTTAACCTTTTTCTCAAACTGCTACAAGCTTTAGCACAGGCACTTCATAAATACATTTTTAAGTAGCTTTTTTGTACCTATGATATTAGTGCAAAGGCAAATGCTCAAGATTTACTGTACAGTTCATTGGGCTGGACCCCAGCAAAGTCAACCACATTTCAAGCCATGATGACCCCAGAGCTCAGCACTGCTCAGTACCCCACTACTCTGGATAGCCCCGCATGAAGGATCCATGTGCTAATTAGCATCCCCCACTCATGACTGGAACTAGGTGTTCTAGTTACGAGTCCTTGGATCCTTCAAAAATGTATGTGCAGATGACATGCAGGGCAACCTGGTCCAGCTCCACCTCATTGAGGGCAAGGCCACATTAATCATATGCAACAGACAGAGAGGGGGCAACAGAGGGATTCTGCATAAACTATTTGGGGCCCATTTGGTGATAGCTGCCAGACATTTGAGACCGGTGAAGAAACAGAAATCACTGGAAATAGGAAAGAAAGGTACAGCTCAGCTGTAGGAATAAAGAGGAAGTCAAACTGTATGCAATGTAGTGGCTTACCATGACTCGAAAAAAGTTGGCACTGAGGGGGACCTACCATATATCTTATTCAGATGGGCTATACTAACCTATTTGCTTTATATGGGCCCTGTGTTTTATAGTCATGCTCAGGGTTGGCTGTATTTAATCAATTGCACAGTTAGTCCCATTACTGAGCATATGCTGCTTTTGGCAACAGTTTAATGATAAACAATGTATTTAATGAGGTTTCCTTGTATGTGAATGTAAGATGAGCATGCTGATTTTTTCCCCATGCTGATTGTAAACTCACCTTGTATTTGAGTGAATACAGTAATGTCTATTTTTGCCCTAAACCTGGGAAATCATTCTATGCTTTTATACACAATAAAATACAATTTGATCAAGGTCACCTGTGAAGTAACCAAGATTCTCTGGTACAACCCATGGCATAAAGCAGTATGTCCTTATCATCTGTTGTGGAATTATCATGATGGTACATTTCCCATGCAAATTCCCATTCTTTATCACTTCCCATTGCAATACCATAACAAAAGATTGTTCTTCTAACAAAAGCAGGAATCCTGTAAAATAGAATATGACAAATGCCACTGTATTCCTACAAAATTAAAGTGAGTGTTTAATGAATGGCAGAAAAATATTTACATTTAATTACAATTAGAACATTCATAAAAGTGAAACAGAACATAAATATTAAACCAGCTAGATTTGATTACTTCAATGTTTTGATATGATCTGAAAATCAACACAAATAAGATTTTTGAGAATAAGGATGAACTGAAAAGTTTTTTAATATAAATCACAAAAGTCTGTCTTAGCCAAAATCAATATTGACCATATTGACCATTATCATTGTGTCCTACAACAACACAATGATGCCATAACATGCCACAATTGCATTTGTGTGAAAATGCTACACCCAGAAGGCTTTTTGGAAGTATCTCCATGGAGCTCAGGTGATAAGAAAGGACTAACCATTTCCAGAAAAGCTAAATGCTTCAAGAGTGCAAGCTTGAGAGAGAATGGGTGCTTTTTCATGCACCAGACTCCCTCCTGCTACTTCAGAGGGTAAGTCCTACAAGTGATAATGAATTTTGTAAAATTCTATGATGTCTATGAATTTTGTGTCTATAGCACTACTCATTTGGACAGTTCATGGCTCTGAAGAGCTGCAACACTACACAGAGTTCCAGCAACACAGTGCTTCAGGGAATATACTAATTTAGCTATGTAAATATTGTTCTTCTGAATGAAAGAGAGCCAAACCTGGTAATTATGTGGTAGGTGTGGGAACAGAGGGGCAATAGTTCATAATATATTCTTTCCACATATTGTATAAAAAAAATCACTACAAATTCTTCCATGAAACAGAGAGCAGCATGCCTGAAAGGGGTCAGGAAGATGGTTGCTCTCCATGGCAGTGTTCTTTTTCAAATATGTGAGGATTTCACAATAGAAGGTAAAGATCATGCTGTCAGCTTTTGGTAGAATAATTCCATTGTGAACATCAATCTGATGAGGATGTACAGGAAGCAATCGAGTAACATAAAGGCACTGGACTAGCACAAAAACGGGATTTTTTCCTGCAGATTGAGAGTCTTTTATATACACCCCCATGTATTCCAACACAGATCAACAAATATTTCCTAGTTTGTAAGAAGTCCATCTTTAGACTCATACTGTAGAAAACTGCACCCTGGGAGATAAGCATTTTAAGGATTATGGAAAATGGAAAAGCGTTGATTTTGAAAACAGTCTTGCAAGCTTAACTGTAGCATTTGCTGCTGTTACTCTTCAATAATATGAATAATCTGTTCAGGATATTGAACAGTGCTTAATATTTGTGATGCTTTTCAGTTTTCCTTTAAAAGTAAGTTTTATTAAAAAACTACTTCAAAAACATTATGAAATGCAAGTTTAGCTAACATAAATTATTGCATGGAGATAGATATAAATACCCCAAAACATTTCTGTTCACTTTTAGTAACTACAGTAAATAAAAAACAAATATAAAATATTAATAACTAAACATAGTGCTAGTGCCAATACTCACCAGTGCCAATACTATCACAATTGCATAGAGAAACAACAAGAGGAAAGGGAGAGAGAGAAAAGTAAGAATTTCAATATATTAGAAAGGCTTTTCAGCAATGGAATACTCTAAAACAGTGCTGTTGACAACTATAAGCTATTCTTATATTCATGGCAGTCCAACATACACTTTTGATTTCAGCTTTTAACATTCATTTAGTGTATTTCTTAATATATTCTGATAGTAGGTTTTTTAAATTTATTACACAGTCTTAAAACAATATTTTAATTAATCTAATGAAAATAAACATTGTAACTATACAGCATACCAATGTTAGCCATATGTAAGAAAGTCACAATGTATGACTTTTACAATGTAACAAAGTTAGTGGTTACACGGAAATCTTGATTTTTGAATTCCTGTTGTCTGCTCAGTTAGATTCTGAGCTTTATGTTGCATTGAGAATGGATGTCATAGGTGAAGAGTACTTTAAGCTACCTATTAAAATCCTGCCTAAGACCTGACTCATGCAAATGGGTGCTCATAAACCCTCAGAAAGATCCACTTATATCAAAAAAGTTAAAAATAACTGCCTAGCAAATCAGACCCTCAGGGCCAGGTCTGATAAAAGGAGTTCAAAATGTGAAAGCCAGAACTCCTAATGAGGTGTCTAGTCATCATATACAATACACGGGGAGACTTTCTGTCAAAATAGGGTCTGAAACATCAAGCCTGCTAAGCAGAGGTGCCTACAGTAAATACACCAAGCTAGCAATTACCTAGAGCTGGTCAACTGAAAACACTGATTGATGCCTTTGTTTAGAGAAAGTTGGTCAGCAGATAACAGTAGCCTCAGGGAAGTTGTCAGTGTTCATGCACACCCACAAAGAACCTGAGGACTTAGGTTTCTCCTGTTAGGTCCATCAATTGGCAGAATGCATGAGTATATCTACACAAACCTTCTGCCAGGTGGCAGCAGAGGCCTTCTTTTACTTGGCGAAATAGCATTATCCTGCTGACATAAAGAAAGCATTCTATGGCTGGAGTTTAAGCCAGAACTGTGTCCTGAATTCTGACCCCTGGACACCTCACTCAGGGCTGAAAGGGAAGGCCTCCATCCACTCAGGACCTAGGGCCTGAAACCTTCAGCTCTTAGCACTTTCTTTTCAAGAATAAAATATGCACACTGTTTTCTAATATGGAAAGGGGGAGACCCTGTTTTTATAACAGAGCACTGGCTAGAGCCCTCCTATAGCTGGGGAGGGCTGTCCAACTTTTAAGTGGTTGGGGACTGCACTAGTGTGGGACACATGCCTCCTGGCCTGCACACCACCCAGGTGCACCTCCCCCCCACACACACACTGTGCGACAAGCCCTCACGCTACACATGTGGGCACACTGCTCCTTCTGCTGTGTTTGTCCATGCTGCACGCAAATGCTCCCTCTCCCCCGTCATCCGCTGTGCTGCACCACACATGGACAACCTACTCCTACCCCCACAGACATCACTGTATATATGTCCCCAGCCCCCTCCCGATATCCCCAGATGGCATCACCCTGCCCTACCCAGGGAGCAGGGCAGGACACACAAGCTGGAGAAGGGAAGGAGAACCTGGAGGCTCTGGCTGCTCATGCAGCTAAAGTGAAAGAGGGGAGTGGTGGCCAGCCAAAAGCCCCCAGACTGCAAAAGTAGCCCCTCATGGGCTGCCAGTTGGAGAGGCCCCGCCCTAAGGGGGATACAAGCCCACACCTCTTAGGTAAGTGCCCTCACCACCAAATTAGAAGCTATTTTAGGATGAAGGCACTCTCCACTCTTTTTAAAGCTGCTCCACTCTGCAAAAAAGAACACATGATTCACTGGGTCAGAAATAACACAAGTGGGAGCATAGCTGTGTTAGTGGTAAGGGCACTTCCCTGGAAGGGCTAGTCCTGGATTCCAGCCCGTTTGTAGAACTGCAATGCATTCTATTCAATGACTGTTTCACATGAATACTCTCAAGGCAGAAGAACCTGCTCTTACATCTCCTTGCACAAGTGCCCCAGCAGCTGAATTACTGTTTAAAGGGGTAGGGGTATGAGCAGCACAACACCAGTGTTTTAAAGCAAAGCAATGGTCATCACTGCATTTTGCAAGGAGCCTGATCCCATCACTGCACATTAAGTGTGCTCTAACACACACCAAGGAATATGGCAGAATGTCTGTTTTCTGGCTTCTAATTGAGCATAGGCATGAAATAGGCAATTTTGTTAAAACTGAGATGCTTCTATACATGTTCAGAAGCAGTACTTTTAGGCGTCTTTAAATTAACTTGGGAACTGTAGTCATGAACACTATGATGTCTATGAATTTTGTGAGCCTAGGCAGCTGAGTGAGGGTTTTCAGGATCGCTACTTTGGACACAGCTACCTAAATTCCAAATAAGACCTGTATTAGGCACAGAATGGGCCAGATCCCAAATAGGATTTAAGTCAGTAAATCCCGATAGCTATTACTAACTGATAGTTGGGCAGCAGCACTTGCAGAATGAGTTGGTGGTCTCAGATGGAGCAGGTGCCCGTATTAGAAAAATAAAGCACTGATTACACAAGCTAAAGATTGAACAGATGCTCACAGATCAAAGCTGAGGCAAACTGATAGGGCTGTGTGAACTCCTTGTGCTGTCACTGCCTGTACTTTCCCAAGTAAGCAGAATCAATCTTCACAGCAGTCAGTCTTTCTGCATCCTTTAGAGCATGACATTTACTTGAAGTAATATGCAGTGTTTTTTTGAAGTTATATTTTTTACAATTTAGTTCATCCCATGTTGTGGAGATAAAAAAGGGAGTATGCAAGGTGCCTCCCATATGCAGCACACCCCATGAAATGGCCTTTTAAATGTGTATCCAGCTTACGCATGCATATCTATAATACTATAGTATCTTACTGATCCTTGGGGTTGTCCATCCACTTGGCATAGAGTTCCGAACATAGATCTAAACAGTCTTGCAGACCCAACCAACATGCTTTTCTAAGAAGATGTTCCAAGTAAGTTCTGGAAGGGAAGCCAGAATAATAATAAAAAGGTACTTATTACTAGGCCTGTGCGAAGTGGCTAGCATTCACTTCGGATTCAGCCAATTCGGGGGACAGTGATTCAATTCAGTGATTCGAATCACTGTCCCAAATCGATTCAGCCAAATCTGATTTGGAGATTCGGCCACTGCCAAATCGGCCGACTCTCTGAATCAAGCAGGCCCCGTCCCCCACCCACTGTCCCAGCCCCATCGATGGCTGCCCCCAGCCTCCCGGCTATTTAAAAAAAACAACCCCCCACTCACTGGCTGCTGCCAGGCGGGGG